CCCAAACCGGCTGAATGCCACCCCTGGCTTCCACATCTTCCACCCCCCCCCCCCGCCATTACTTCTGGCTTGGGCCCACGGCAGATTTATGGGGTGGGGGGCTCATGGGGAAGGGGGGGGTTAAATGGGCTTCTGTGGGCATCAAATCAAAGATTGAGCCCCTGGCTGGAAGACAGGAAGTCCTTGACTTATGACCACAAGGGAGCCATTATGGAGTGAGACCAGTGTGAGGGGTTTTTTTGTCCTGTTTTATGACCTGTCTCGCCAGAAATCGTTAAGGGAATCCCGGCCCTTGTTACCTTCTTCAGTGCAATTGGTTGCGATTGTTTACGTTCCTCGCCGCAGTCGTTAAGTGAATCCCAGCCGCTGTTAAGTTAGGACCACAGTCCTTAAGTAAATCGTTGCAGTGGTTCACGTTACTCGCCATGGTCGTTGAGTGAATCTTGGCCTTGGTTAAGTTGGGAACCTGGTTCTTAAGTGAATCGTTGCAATTGTTACATTGCACATATGGTTGTTAAGTGAATCTGGTTCCACCCACCAACCTGAAGCGAAGGTTGCAAAAGGGGATCAGCCAGCCCCAGGACCGTCATAAAGACAAGTTGGTTGCCAAGCCTCCTGAATTTTGATCCCGTGACCAAGGGGAGGCTCCCATGGTTGCTGAGTCGGAAAATGACCATAAGACCCTTGTTTCCAGCACTGTCGTAACTTTGAGCGATTGCTAAGCAAATTGGTATAAATTGAGAGCTGGCCCAGCACCTAGCACCCCCAAATCATATATACGTGGGAGTTGCAACTTCAGAACTGGGTTATAAGTATCTTTTTGGGGGGGGGAGTCCATTGTAACTTCTAATGGTTACAAAGTGGATAGTCGTAAGTTGAGGACAGCAGCACTGGCTGGGTCCCACAACATGACAAAATTAGTTTAGTGATACGGGGGGCGGGGGGGGAATTGGAATAAAGATCTAATCCAGCATTTCTCAATCTGGAGAACTTGAAGGTAGGTGGACTTCCACTCCCAGAATTCCCCAGCCAGCCTACTTTAAGAGGGGAGGACTTCAACTCCCAGAATCCCCAAGCCAGTCACTAAGTGAACCATTATAAGTTGAGGACAATGCGTACAACAACAATCGAGCCTAAAATTTCAGCAGCTAAAGCAAGACAGTCACTCAATCACCGCAGGACACGGCAGTGGTCATTATTAGGAGTCGGTTGCCTTAATTTGGATTGCCTGACCTTGGAGAATCTTACAACGCTCGTCAGCATGAAAATGTCGCAAGTCACTTTTTCCAGTGCTGTTGCAACAGGTCACTAAATGAACTGGCGTAAGTTGACTACCTGTAAAGCCCAAACTTCCAAGGGTCGCTGAGTGAGCCATCGTGACGTTGAGGACTGTTTGTATAGGATGGGGAGCTTCAAGATAAGCTGGTCTGAAACCCGAAATCTCTCACACTCGAGAGCGGTCAAACAACCCAACCCTAAACCCACAGAGGACAAAGACGTCAGGCGGAGACACACCAAATGGACATGTTTTTGCCAAAGAAGGTGATACAAAAAAAAACAACCACCACCACCACCCCCAAAACTGTAGCCACAGAGACCAAACACCAGATGTCACACAGAAGAAAAGCTGGTTTCTCACCGTCACTTCGGCCGACAGTTGACTTCAACAACAGGGCAATTCATAGCAAACCAATATTTACAGGTACCTTTGGAAAAAAATAATAATAATAACCAACACCACCACAACGATGGAGTCCCAACGATCTTGGCAGTCCTGGCATGTGCAAGATCTTGGGGAGTCACCCAACACAAAATCCCACGGGGGACATCACACGGCGAAACCACACACAATGCAAGTGCTGGGCGTCAAGAGTTGTTCTTGCACAAACCAAACACAGTTTTGAAAATAAAATGGAGAAGATGGACAGACAACGCCGACTAAAGGACAAGGACGTGGGAAATGGGGGTAGGTGGGCATTTCCAAGTTCCGCAGAGGTGTGGGAGGACCCCCCCATTTTGAGTGGGCAGGATCAAAGAAGAACCAATTTGCCTCTCGCGGCGGCCCATAGCCATTTTGCCAACCTCTGCGGCGCACTGTGCAAGCTGGAGGACGTTGATACGTGTGTAGAGTGTACACGTCGCAAGGCAAACTCATACAAGCAAGCGGATGTGGCAAAGAAATGAGTGGAATTTGAGCAGGGGGGTGATCTGGAGAGGGCGACAGGGTATTTAACAGATAATCAGAGTTGGAAAGGACCTTGTAGGTCATCTAGTCCAACCCCCCACCCAAGCAGGAGACCCTACACCATTTCTGACAAATGACAGTCCAATCTCTTCTTGAAAGTCTCAAGTGATGGTGCTCCCACAACTTCTGAGGGCAAGCTGTTCCATTGGTTAATTGTTCTCACTGTCAGAAAGTTTCTCCTTATTTCCAGGTTAAATCTCTCCTTGTTCAGTTTCCATCCATTATTCCTTGTCTGGCCTACAGGCGCTTTAGAAAATAGCTTCACCCCTTCCTCCCTGTGGCAGCCCCTCAAATATTGGAAGACCTCTATCATGTCTCCCCTGGTCCTTCTCTTTACTAGACTAGCCAAGCCCAGTTCCTGCAACTGTTCATTGTATGTTTTACAATGTAGACCCTGTCTTATCTCCCCCTCCCAGGCATGCAAGAAGGTGCAGGGTGGGCGGGCTACAAGACTTTTGCAGCCCCCTCAAGTGTGACTGGCGCATGACCCCTTGCACAGGAGCTGCACACAGCTTATGTGTCAGCATCCAGCAGGTGTGCCCAGTGCAGGACAGAGGAGGCAATCAATGTTCCCGTGCCCCCCCCAAGAGTATATTACCCCACCACCACCCAAACCGGAGCACTCCCCCAAGGGCTGGCATGTCCCTTTCAAGCTGGGCACCTGACAACGCTACGGCTGTTCAGGTTTCAGGCCCATCAGCCCCAACTGCATTCCCAGCATCAGGTGGCACATGGTGGGGTTGCGGGTGTGGATTTTCTGGTAGCAGTTCAGTGACTACTTGACACACACTAGGGTGTCTCACCTGTGTAGATGCACCTTTGCTTCAGCAAGTGGTCCTGCCAGATGAAGCTTTTCCCGCACTCCATGCACTGATATGGCCACTCGCCCATGTGGATCCGTTGGTGGCGCACAGCTTTGGAGAAGTCCTGGAAGTCCTTGCCGCAGTAGGTGCAGGTCAACAGCCTGTCTCCCTTCCCCCCATGGAGTTTCTGGTGAAGGAGCAGGTTGACCTCCAGCTTGAAGCTCTCCTTGCACTGGGTGCACATGTAGGGACGCTCCATCATGTGGTTCCCGGGCCGTTTCACCATGCTGGGTTTCACCATTGGGCTCCTCTGTGGCTTGGGGCACTTGTGCAGTTTGGGACAGGCAGGAGTTGGGGCCCTCTGGATAGTGAAGGGGGTGAGCTTAACCAGCGGGTTTCCTTTAGGCTCTGGCACAAGATACGCCCGGCTTCTGCTGTGCGTCTTCTGGTGGCTAGCAAAGAGCTGACTGTCTACAAATCCTTCTCCACACTCGCAGCAGATGAAGGGGGCTGGGTGAGCTTCTGTGGCTGATGGGGCTGAATGCTCTTTCTGGGTCTTGGGCAGCTCCTGTGTGGACCGCTGGAGGGGCTTCTTGGGCAGGGCAACGGAGACAGGCTGGCTCTTGCACAGCAGCTCCTCTCCAGGAACCTGGAAAACATCTGTCCTCTTGTGGGGGAAGAGGTTGTCCACATCGTCCTCCAACAGCTGAGGAGCACCTAGTGAAAGAAAGGGCACAGGTGACAGAGATGGGACATGCCTAGCAGGGCTGTCTATAAAGCAGGGGTGTGCAACCTTTAACACTCAAAGAGCCATTTGGACCCCGTTTCCCACAGAAAACAAAACACAGGGAGTCAATAATTTAACAACCATTGTGACTGGGTGGGTATGGCCAACTCAATGTCACTCACTTCCACCCGTCACCTCCTGCCCTGGAATATGGAGCGAGTCTCTGTGCCCCACTATCACCTTTACTTTCTCAGGCCAGGCCAGGCAAGGGGGGAGGGAATGGGCCAGTCAGCAGAGGGCCAAAAAAGCTGCATGTGGCTCCAGAGCCACAGGTTGCCGCCCCCTGCTCCAGGCAGATGATCCGGCCATTTCAGCCTCTTTTTGGGGGGGCGGGGGTCTGTGGTGGAGGAGAAGTGAGAAAAAAAATCGCAGGCCCGAATTCGAATCCTGACCAAGCAAGCTCAGCCAAAGCTCAGCATCTCGGCTCTTTCAGGTTGCAAATGGTGCATCAAGGCCGACTCGGAGCTGCATGAGAGGGACTGCATTCCCGGGAAGGCCCCTTCCACCCCGAAGCCCAGCCTCATGGGTCCTAGAGTCCCCAAGCTGCTGCAGGAAGCCACAGCAGATGGCCAAAAGAGCCACATGTGGCTCCAGAGCCGCAGGTTGCCAACCCCTGCTATAGAGGTAAGGTCTCTCCCTTCTTCTGCACACCCCACGCTGCTGTCTCCCGCTCACATCCTTGTCATATGAGCCAAGAGATCGGCCACAATGGAGTTGAGGAATGGTGGGGGGGATCAACCTTGAGAAACAGTGAGGGGGAAGAAGGGGGGAAGAGGGGATGGTTCTGCACGAGTGACCAGCAAACAGGTGAACACATACCTCCATTTGCATGCATGGTGTCAGAGGTGGTATTCAGCTGGTTCGGACTGGTTCTGGTGTACTGGCAGTGAATTTTGTGACTACTTCGGAGAACCGGCAAATACCACATCTGGCTGG